GAATATTTATATTCATTTGAATCATCATCGGATGAATCTTGAGATTTTAAAAAAATATATTCGGAATATCCATCATCAGGTGGAATCGATGGTGAATATGTTGATGCTGATAATATAGATAAACTTTGTGACATAGCACGTAAACGTCGATTATCATCAATTTTTCGTTTTTTTGTACGTTTTTCTTCTTCTGACATGATCCATTCTTTGCGTAAACCTTTTTCAAAGCATTTTTTCAAACGACAATATTTACATCTCTAAAACAAATTTTTTTTGAGAATTAATAGAATAAGAATGAAAGATTTTTATTTACGAACTTTTCGTGTTTCTAATGTAATTATACAATCATTTGTACCAACACGACATTTTAATCTATTCTAAAATAATTTTGAAAAAAAAATAAAAGAAATATTAATTAATAGAATTGATTTTATATTTACTGAAGTTTGTAATGCATTACGTCGAAAAAATGCTTTGCAACTTTCACATGTTATTTGATCGAAGTTATAACCTAATTATATATATAGATAAGAATACATAAAATAGAAATGAAAGTTATGTCAGTGACAAACACGTTATTTATTCTTACCCATGGCTGGTGCATGGCATATGACACAAATAAGATCGTGTCGATCACGTTTACGAAAGGCTCCATTGGAATATGAACGTTTTCGATGTTGTTGTTGTCGCATAGCTGTTATGTTTATTGATGGTACTCTATGGTCTGTTTGCATTATAAATATATGTAATTAATTTGTGTGAAAGTTATTTTTTAATATTAACTAAAATTAAACAAAATTGATGGATAATGGAATAGTAATCTAGCGCACACTCAAAATACACTCAGTCAGGCTCGAACTGAGTTTGTGTGCGATTGTCTTGACGAGTAGGAAAAGAAAAAGAGGAAAAGAAAAAAACTAACGACAATAAAATATGCGAGTTCGACGGCTTGATAGAAAAGAAAAAAAAGAAAGAAAAAAAAGAAAAATAGCATGAAGAGGAGGTGACGATCGTCATCATGATTGTGCATATGCGTGCCATTGAAATGCATTTATACATATGTAAAACACCTTGTTTCTTATAAGATGACTTTAACAAAAAAACGATTAGAAAATTAACCAATACACGATCATATGCTGTACATATTAAATACTAAGTAATATAAATGTGTTTTCATTCTGACTGAACAAGGTCAACAGATGTTGTCTATTTATGATATAGAAAACTGTTACTCAAAAACTTTTCTAATATAATATCGAATTCCTTTGATCTATATATCTTATAGTACGACTTATTTAATATGAAAAGATCCTAATCATTTTAATCGTTGATCTTCCGGAAGGGATTAATATTCTTGAGTCTATTTCATTAATATTATCTTACGAAAGCTCAATTTTCATCCTCTATTCTCATCCATCAACAAATATTAAAATAGCTATCTTTTTCGCACATATATATATTTATATATACACATTTAGCTTATATTTGCATGCTAAAAAATATTAGATTCCAATGTATATTCAAAATTTTTACATTGCTGCGTCATTATAAACAATCTGACGAGAAATATTAACGTAGGTTTAAATATAACCACAAGAAAATAATATTTTTAATGGTTTTCTTTCATTCAAAACAAGACAATATTGGTGAAATTAATCGATTTTTATGATTTATGTCTCTTTCAATAGAGCATATGTAAGTTTTTCTAAGGCCTCCTACTCAAAAAGCTAAGCTTTTTTTTTTATTTAATTATTTCTCCATTTCCCAATCTCTTGAACGATAAATGACTGGAGTTAACCTCAAAATAAATGAAATGATAAAGCCAATAATTCAATTGAGTTGAAATTTTATATTTCCTATTGATAGATTGCATATTTCAAGCTGAAAATTTTTGTCATGAATTATTCGAAGTTAAGATACATCTTTGAAGATTCCAGTAAGTTTTACAAAATAAAAAAAAGTATTTATAACTAAATATAGGTCAACTTATCGATTAATGATAATCAATGTTGAAAGCTTGTCAAGCTTTCCTGTTGCTATTATTACATTGTTTTATATAAAAATGTACTGAAATGTTAACTAATCAATATATTGATTTATGTTCCCATAACAAACAAGAAAAAGTTTGTCTAAATAATTTGTACAAATACAATAATAATGATAACAAAAACGAAAAAAAAGAAAATATATTATATAAAAAAATATCTACCGTTTGTGTTCAAGCGTTTAATAAAACGGATTTCATTAACGGGACAAGTTGCTCTGCAACATCATCTTTTTTAACAAAATCATACCGAGTATTATGTGATTGTAAATGTGCATCTATTGATGACATAACAAGTTTTAACCAAATATGAACTGTTTGAGTATAACCAAATTTACTTTCACAATATTTTAATAATAAATTAACAAAAATATTTTGTGTATGAAATAATGATTGGATATTATTTGCTACAGGTTCAAATTCTTCAGTATATGTACATAAAGATGAACCTTTGGATAATATCATAATTAATAAAAATATCTGTATTATAAAAGGATCATTTTGTGAAGCATCCATTACGCGACATACACAACGTGTTGATTTTTCGTATTGATCTAGACTAAAACATTGGATTAAATCTTTACCAGAGAATACACAATCGTCTGTGCCTTGATCATAATAACTATCTGTAGAACGATTATATACCAATGCTGAACGTATAAATAATAATGGAAATGTATTATGTTTAATTAAAACTAGTTTATCATGTTCATCCAATGATGAAAATTCAGGGATAAGTTTTAAAAATGTAATAAGACGTGATGCTTGAAGATTTGAAGGAAGGTTGATCATTTCAAACGGAAAATTTAGTTTTGCTGTGTTAGGATATAAAGGAATTTCACGTGGCAATGATGTAAGACGAACTGAATCTGCATATGCGTGTTTAATTTGTTCAATTTTAAATAAATCTTCTGAAGATAATATAGAAGTTGAAACAGTAGAATATTCTTTATTATCACTTTCCATTAGTTCACTTTTTAAATCAACATATGGTGACTAGAAATAAAAATAAAATAATAATATATAAATTATTATATATTGATATGTATTACTTTCGAGACGTCATCTGAATCTGCTGAATCAGGATATACTAATTTACGAAGACGACGATTTTCTTCAATTTTTCGTCTTTTATTCATACGTTCTTCATCTGTTAATATCCAATCTGCTCTCATACCTAAATTTAATTATTGTTTTATATTTTTAGTCATAGAAGAATAATAATTAAAACCTTGTTCAAAACATTTGGCTAGTCGACAAGCTTTACATCGTTTTCTTGTTGTCATATTTATAATACAATTACCATCATTTATTCGACATTTAACTTTTTCCTACAAAAAATAAAAATTAATCATAATAATAATTATAAAAAATGATTAATTATAAATACGTCAAATTTTAAAGCATTTCGTCGAAAAAATGCTTTACAAGATTCACAAGTAACAGCATCAAAATTATAACCATGTGCAGGTCCTTCGCATATCGTACATATCAATCCTCCCGGTTTTTTTCGGAAAAAAGAAGCACGATGTTGTTGTTCTTGCTGCTCTTGTTGTTGTTGTTGTTGTTGTTTATCAAAGATAGTTAATGATTCATCTTGTATATGTTGTTTATCATCGGTGAGATTATAATGTCGACGTACGACTCGTTTTCGATGATGAACATTATTCTGACTCATAATTAATTATGAGAGTTCGATAATCAATTGCATAAAAAGATTTGTTTTTCTAACTTAAAATACATAATGATGAGAAGAAAAAAAATGAGGAGAAAAAAGAAGCAGAAAGGAAAAAAATGTAACTTTAGGTAATAAAGAATCAAACAAGGTAAAAATATAGAACAGAAAAAGAAAAAAAAAGAAAAAGAAGAACGAAAAACCGGTGATGATATAATAATATACTTTTTATAGCTGCTCTACTAGGAATAACATCAATTACACACTATCACATTCATATTTATCGAGCAGAAAAAGCGAAAAGGAACTCTATTTTTCGAACTTTATAATAACAATACAAAACAAAAATATAGTAACACTTGAATGAAAATTTCTTGCCCGTTTCTTTTTTTTATGATCCCTAACAACAAGATGACTGATATATCTACTGTTAACAACACGGAGAAAAGAAGTAGAACAGAACGCAAGCGATGTTGTTGACGTCCACTTTTCAGGCTTCGCGTGGGATGACGAATAATGATTACAAGAAAAGAAAAGAAAAGAAATATAAAAAAACAACAAGCCTCTACTATTTTGTATTAGAAAAGAAAAAGAGAGTTCGCTATAGTCAACCCATAACTGCGTATATACATACAATTCTCAAAAAATCTATTTCACATCAAATATAATTATAATTTACTTTTAAATTTAAATTAAATAATCTTTATAATCAACTAATATTATTTGTCTATTGATAACAATAATTATAATGACGAGATTTTTTTTATATCAAATACAAAAAGGAAAATAAATTAATTTACAAATTTGTATAAAGAATGCTGAGATAATTTCGAAGACTTTTGCTTTTCTGTATTAATACGGATAATCAGACAGAAAGAACATCCGTTTAGCCTAAATATAAAACAGTTCAGATCGAAAGGACACCTAGATGTCGTGTCGCGAAGACTTTCAAGGAGAAATTCTAGTTATTAAGGTCGTAAGAAACAAAAAATAAAGAATTTTTGTTATCAAAAAATGTGTTATAAATTTATTATACTCAAAATATTTTTCATTATGAAAAGTGCGACATATGATTCTTTTCAGATGGGAACATCTTGTGTCATATGCGTATTATTTTCAATCTATAACGTCATCAAAATCGATTGAAATTATTAAATTATTGTTATTCTTTTTTTCATCATCAAGATTAATGATTCATATTATTTTGTCCTTGAATATCATAATAGTAATTTAAAAAAAGTCTTTTTTTAAAAGAACACGTCTCGTGTATATATTTTTATTTTAATTCGAAACATAATTTTGACTATTAGGTGAAGTCGTATCTGGTAATTGTAAGACACTTTGCATCAATGGAGATAATTGTGATGCATCAATATTTAAATGCACAATATCTTTTAAATGTATCGCTAAACGTTGTATAGCAAATAATTGATTAATAAGTTTTATAAATAAACTTGTTGTTGTTTTTAATCCATATTGATGTAAACAATATTTATACAATACTTCAGTGTACATACTGTGTATATTGAATACAGTCGATATATCATTTAATGATGGTTCATTGACAATATCATAACCACAAAAACCTTTGGTATATAAAGTAATTAATAAAAGTAATTTAACAATAACACGATCATATTCAAGTATTTCAATTAATTTCGTAGCTGTAGCTGTTAAATCTTGATAGAATTCATTGCCTAATATTTCAATCCAATCTTTGCCTTCGAATACAGGATCTTGTGTTTTATGTTCATGATACGTATCAGCAATTGGATCATAAATTAAGACAATATGGATAAATACAAGTGCTAATAAATTATGTTTAACAAGTGTTACACGATCGTCAGAATCTACTGAAGCAAATTCAGGAGTCATTTTTAAATATGTTATAAGACGCAATGATGATAGATAAGTTGGAATTCGTATTAATTCAAGTGTTGTATGAATTGGATGTGTTGCTGGATAAGGAGGTACACCAACAACTTGATTATATGCTATTGCTTCAGTATATGCTGATTGAATTTTATGAATTTTAGACCATTCAAAATCAGTCATTATACAAATGGGATCGTCGATTACTATACGAGGAGGTGATCCATCACCAGAACTACTACGATCTGTTTTAGACTGAAAATATGAATAGATTTGTTATTTAATATATAGAAATAAATCTTACACTGGTTGCAATACGACGACGGCGACGAGGAGGTTCTGTAGTCGGTTCTTGAGTTTGTTTACGACGACGATTTTCTTCAGCTTTACGTTTTTTCTTTCGTTTACTAAAAAAATTATCAATAAATCAATATTAATTGTATTATGAGGTATTAAAGATCTAATGAATGAATGTATCATATCGAACAAACTTCTAAATTGTATTTCATAGTGAGAGAAGCTTTGTCAAAATATTTCTTCATAATCAATATATCTGAAGATCAGTATCTCAGTTAGATTTGATGATAGTATCCAAGAAATTTATTAAAGATTATAGCACACATTTTTTCAATACTTAATAAAATTATTACTAGTAAAACTGAAGGTTTTTCTCGTTATCAGCTATCCCTTAAATTTTCACGATCTTAGTCTTATCGAAAAATGATTTCGAAATTTTTTCAAATACTCTTATTAAACAAGTATGTCTTATAATCGTATTGTTTTCTATATGGTTAGATAAGCGTGCAATCATGATACTTAGCTGTATGGCACTAACTATAGGACTTTTTAAAAGTACATAGACTCTATATAATTTGTTCTAAGTAACTGTTGAATACAGTTTTTGGAGTTACTACGAAAATCGAACAATTGAATAATTGCGTAATATGAACTAGATTTTAAAGGCATTCTTCTTGACATATTAAAGCACTTGAATAGTGGATAGAATAGAATCGGATTATAAAAAGAACTATTGCTAATAGGCAACTATATAAACGGACATATATTTTCTTTAAATACTATTTCTTATTTATACGAATAATTCCTGAAGATTGAAACCCAAAACTAATACTTATAACACGTATTTATCTGACTGAACAAGAAAGAAAGGAATTTTCAAGAATTATTCACATATAGTAGTTCACTTTTTTATATATCGTCTATTCTCTAAGTTATCGATAATCTTAGCATCATAATAGAAGAAACTAAAGAGATCTTTCTATTTTTCTTTAAATTTAGTGAATATAATCAAAGCAACATACTCTTCGTCTGAAAGAATCCATTCTTTTCGCATTCCTAAAATGATAAATATAATAACAATAAAGAAAAATAAAAATGTAATTCATCATACCCATTTTGAAACATTTATCTAGTCGACATCTTTTGCAACGTTTTCTAGTTTCGACAGTTATATTACAATTACCATTACCACGACATTTGAGTTTGTCCTATAAAAAGACTTTTCAACTTTCATATGAATACATTATACTATCTAAATGAATATTTCAATACAATCGAGTGTTTGCTACTACTGATGACAGGATTACTAAGTTTGATCACGTAGAAATGGCAAAATCACTCACTATACTATTTTATCACATTGACAACGAAAGACCTCATCCACATTTAGGAAATAATGAGGTACTGACATAACGAAGTAATATAAAGATAATCTTTCTATATATGTGTACTTGTCATGTACCTTTTTAAAATGATAAGATGTTAAGTGTCTACATTGAAATACAAGTATTAACTTTACAGTATTTGGAGTATTATTATTTCTATATCCAAATTTTTGGCTAGGCATTAGTTATCTATCAATATTAATTCCTTATTTTTTAGTTACATCCGAATAATTAAACATATAACTACAAAAGCCTCTACATACTTTAGGATACCCTAATAAAAGGACAAACAAGTTTCATGTATATCCTCTTAGGTAAAGTTTATAACATTCATGTAAGAAAATCAGCTGGGTTACAGAAAATTACAAAATAAGAAAAACGACAGTAAGTTAACAAATACATTGGTGAAATGTATCTAATAGTAATTCATATAAGAGACATGAATATTGTTAATTCTAGATCACGTCAAATAACGAGGCTCGGTGAAGACAAAATAAACTTTTAATAAAAGAATAAAAGAGCTCTGTAAAAAGCAAGGGAACTGTTTTGATAAGTCAGTAGATGAAAATTATCATTATAAACTATTGATTATTATTGCAAGTCATCCAAAAATAATATTTATAAACAATCTAATTCAAGATAAATATTACCTTCTATTAGATTCTATACTCTACATTCATATAAACGTTTTCTTTCGTTAGAATTACTAAGGAAAATTCTACTAACATAAACTTCAAACAACCTTCATTTCTTTAAACCTAAGCAATAATATGAAGAGATTCTGTTAAGATTTCGATCATTTTCATGATCATAAAGCTAAAATATCTACTTGGGTATTTACACGCTACATTCTTTATTTTAATAATAGAAATATAAAATAATTATGTTCCTTATAGTCTGAATTCTAACTATAAAAATCCTATTGAAAAAATTTACCGGTGGTCGTAAAGCATTTCGACGAAAAAATGCTTTGCATGATTCGCATGAAATAGCATCAAAATTGTATCCTAAAATAAATCAATTGATTTTTATAAAAGAAAAATCGACTTCTTTCATACCATATGCATCATCACCGCAAACAATACATTTGAGATAAGGTTTTGGACGTGTACTAGATGTGTCACTTCTATTGGTTAAATCAAGACTGCATGCCTCATCTAAAGTTACTTCAGTCTCAATTAATTTAAGATTCTGTTTTTCTTCGTCTGCCATTTCAAAACATTTATTTCTATTTCACTTATGCTTAGTAATACTTGTTCTAAAAAAAATAAATAATAATAATGAGTAAATAAAACTAAAACTTTATCCTATTTGAAAAAAAAATTAATAGTTTCTTTTATCTAAACAAAACGATATTATATGTACTGTATGTAACGCAGTATTTACCTCTAGCACGAGAGAAAAAAAACATTTCGCATATATAGTCTCTCAAATGGTAAGATTACACAGGCGAAGTGAAGGAAGAAAGAAAAATATCGAAAGAAAACTAAGACGTCACTCTTCGACGGCAACGTGCATTCAACAAATGATGACGGCCATTCTTTTTCTTCTTTACTTGTTTGACGCGTACCGCCCATTGCTCGATGTTCCCAGAATTATTGCTTTTCTTTTCATTCTGTTTAAGTGTAAAATTATTTATTATCTACGGATAAATTCAAACCTTTAGCTAAACCATACTATAAAAGTTAATACTATTACAGTGCAAAGATAATTTATTCTGTATAAGCATGATTACGCTAAGAAATAAACTATCTCGATTCTTCTCATATGTCAAAAACAAAGAATTAAGTTTACATTTTTACAATACATTCTTAGATAAAGTTGCATGTTCATTCTACGTTGTTCTAATGTAATATAAATAAAGGATAGTCAATTACTTATATTAATCTAAGTAGCAAAAAGAATAGTTTAAGTCATTTTTTATTTAAGCAGGTCATATTAACTGTCTGGAAAAAGACAAATTTTGAGTAACCTTTTTTTTAACTCAAAATAGTCAGGTTTTTACATGTATGTTATATACGTGAGAGTATTCATTAAATTTATTTTTAGAAGCTCATATTGTAATCAACAATTGTTGTTTAATAAGATAACATTCAAATACTTGACAAAAAGAGGATAAAATAAAATATTCTAAAACTTTCATACTAGATGGAATTTGATAATAAATTTATTATTTATATAATCATTACTCGAAAATATTTTTTATACTACGATCAGAATAAATCATTTCAGGTAAGAAAAACAAGCTGTTAATTTAAAATCTTACGATTTATTCTCTACGGTAGACTATTCATTAAAAATAACTAAAAGAATTTTCTTCTTTTTTATGCTTACATAATTTTTTTTATTTGTTAAATTTGTATTGATGTACCTCATGTTACTCTATTCTGTATCCTTATCTAATCACCTTCTTTATATAGACTATGACGCGATTTCGAATTTGCGCAGTTAAAAAAAGAACGATATGTTCGTTCAAATTATCTGTAAAGAAAATATACAAGTATCATTTGTTTTACTAATCATCATTCTTATGTAAACGTCTATGTTTTGAATGAATTAACTTTCTGTACTTTAATTTCTAGTTTAAAACCTATTTTACTGTATTCTTTTCTGGTAAATAATTATCAAGTATCTCTCGATTATACTATCATTGTAAATAATACAATAAAAATTTTCTATTCTATGAAATTTTAAGAACGTATTTGTAAGTGATTATTGAATTTTCTATCAGATAATGACGTAATCGGAAATCTCTTTCTTCTATGATGACTTATCGGTATTTGTATATCTTGAATATATTTCAAGGTAATATAAACTTATTTTTAATGGACTACATTTTATAAGGTTATATTGCTCGAAATAGAGATGATCTCAACATTTAACAGATCATATTTTGTACTAGGTGTACAAATAGGTTATTTAAAATATATAAGACAAACTAATGAAGTTTAGTAACTGTCTGTTTTATGTAAAGAAAAGAACAGAAAAGTTCTGAAAATTATTTATAAGCTAGTGACATTTGCTAATCTGTTCCAAGATGTTCATATAATCAAATTTCCTACAATTTATTTTTTTGAGAAGATCGATAAACAGCTGTTAATTCATTGTATTGTATGGATATCTGAAACTCAGAAAGAAATGTAATTCAAGGTCTAATTTTATGTGTTAAAATAGAAAAGTTATTTGTACTCATAAAAAAATTGCGTACGAACGTGCGATTAGACTATCTGGGCATATATGAATTGTTATATCATCATTTATATATGAAGCATGCTAGACACAATAACGTATTTGTGCTCACATATGCGGAAATTGATGCAGATGTGAGTGCAAGAAAAGTGTAGAATGAATAAACGTTTAGCATATATATATGAGTCCTTTAGAAAACGTGACAACCAAATTTAAGTATTTTCATTTAGATATAAGTATTGTTCGATAATACAAATAGAGTACAAATTAAATGATCAGTATGTTATTCAAAATGATCAGTAAAAAATTTGAACTGTCTGTAGAATAGTTAATGATTAGTGAGTTTTGGATTTGATCAGTAATTTAATTATTTTATCAGTAAAATGATGAGCTTATCAGTATCTAAACTAAAATATCAGTAGTTAATTATGTTTGATAAGTGAATTATCGCATTTATATCAGTTTTCTTCGTTCTATAAAATCCCTCGATATCACATATATGTTGTCCTACTTATCTTCTTTGTCTATGTTTGACCTACTTTGTAAATACTATCACGTCTATTCGATATCTTACAGTAATAGATGAGCACATATCTTCAGCGATTGTTATTTCAATGCAAGACTTCCCTCTTCCAGATAAAAATGTATGATTTACTGATTTTATGATGGTTTCTGAAGGTTTGACTGAAACACCTTACATAAAAAAATTTTGTTTTTTAGAACTTCAACTATTGAAAGTATTTGAGTTTTTCTCGAAGCTGTAGTTTTGTGTTTGACCTACCCGTGTGACAAAGATTTTTTTCGTTGTTTGAAATACTACAAAGTTCGGAAAGGTTTTTAAATAAGCAAAAGCTCAGTGCTGCAATCTTACAAAGTCAAAAGTTTTGTTTTCGATTTAGTTGCTTACAAAAAAATTCTCCTTTTTTAAAAACCCGGCTTTGTTACGCTATAGCGGCAAGCTTTTTTACATTTTGATACTACTCAGAGATCCGTATCATCAAAACTGCGAAAAACCTTTGACACATGGACACCTTATTTTTTACTCTTAACATTACGATAACCCTCGCAAAACCCGATATAATGAGTTCAACTGAGGATGTGGCTAAGATATTGCCTCTCACCGCACACCAACATCCACCCCTCAAAAGCTAAAAAAGCATTATTTATTTATTCGATTTTTGTTACCTGTACTTCTAATATTTTTACTGATATTAGTACAAAAATTACTGATCAAAACTTATATATTTTTATTTTAGAAGACAGAAACTAATCATTTGGAATAAAATACTGATCATTTGAATAGGACCTATTTTATTCCAAAAAATTGATTTATTTTCAATATATATACATTCTGTTCATACATATAAGCAATGACACAGCTAATTATGCATATATATAATACAAATTATAATAAAAGTATCAAGTAATGGACTATCATCTTGCTGTTGAACGTGTGCTCCAGCTTTTATCAAAAGAGGAGTTGCTATTGTTCTTGCGCATTAAATTTCTGCTTTTGATGTATATCGAAGAACATTTTGTGTTAGAGATCAATGTAAACAAACATTGAAACATTCTTTTTAATGCAACTAAATTGTGAACTCGAGTACATGCGACCTTTGAAAGAGGAAAAAAAACATGCATAGTTAGTTGATGCATCTAGTCGAAAGTGTGCTATGAGAAAGCTAGTTAATCATATAGAAAAAACAATCTTAACAAATCGTCTTACTGCGTATTCGAAAATAAAATTACCAAAGGCAGTTATGGTACAATTCTATCAATTAGTAAATAAATAAGATACATTTCTATTTGAGTTTTCATCAAATGAAGAGTATAATCTTAAAAGGGTCATGCAAAGAAGATTAATACATTTTTAACGTAGCATATTAATTAGTAATGTTTTTTTTGTTGTTGTTGTTGTTATTCACACATCTTGAACTATAATAAGAATAAAAAAACCATACAGATAAGTGCTTGTCTAATCAATTTTTTTTTATCTAAAATTTTAAAGTACGTCTTGAAACTCAAGTGAAAATGTTAGATAAAAACAAAAAGATATAACTGAGTTGTTCATTTCAACAGATACTTCTTTAAAATCAATGAGCTTTGTATGATAATAAAGATTTGCTTTTGAAAATATGTATATGATTAGGATCAAAATTATGCACAGGATATGCTGAATAAGCAGAAAGAACTGATTATGGCTTATTTTATTTTGAATTGCCAAAGCCATCATATCACGTCGAATAAACGGCCATGGTTACTAATATCTTAAATGTTTACCAAATTTTGACAGTTGTATTTCGTGACATTCGAATAATTCTACTTATAATAATTCCAAGACATGTGTCACCATCACGTTAACATGTTTTAAACTTGAATTGCTCTAAAAACAATTGAATAAATTAAAACGACTGATATTTCGAAGAGGATATATTAATCTTACCTGTTTTTTTTATTACAATCTTTTGAGAACTGTCGAAATTATCTATTCTATTGATCAAGATGAGTTTTAATGCAATCGAGTAATTTATTCATGATATCAGTGAAGTATGTTAAGAAGGAGTGAATAATCATGCGTTATTTCAAAATACAATAAGCTTTATTTTAAATAATTCATCAATTCAATGACGAAGATGAAAAAGCAAATTACTTCCGAGACGTACTATAATATAAAATTCCTATAGAGAAACTTGTACAGATACTGATTTAGTTTTAATTGAAAATTCCTGTACTGATATTTAGTACTTTCAATAGTTGTTTCTGTAAGCTATTATCAACAATAATCTGTAGTTATGGCCTCATAAGACTCCAGTCATTAAATATTACAAGGATCGTATACGATCTTTGTAAGATTTTTTCATCTGGGACCTATATATTGTAAACAATAATAAAAAAAGGTGGCCTATTGTAAATTGTAGAGCCTTTCACGTTGCATCTTTTGATATATTTTGTTTTTTTCAATTAATTTCTTTTTTTTCTCATAAACTTAATCTCTCATATTTAAATGCAAAGATATTGAATTT